GCCCCTGCACCACGCGAGGCCCCAGCCCGGCGCCCGCCTGCGCCCAGCCCCCCCCTGCGCCGTCTGCTCCTCTCCTGCGCACCACCACGGCATCTCTCACATGCACACAGCCGTCACGGCCACCCTCGGTGACCCTCCTTCTCGAACCCCCTGCCTCCAACATTTGCACCGCACACTTTCACACAATGCACACTCACACGCACGCACACACGCACATACATACACACACGCACACATGCAGGTGCGCCCCCAAACAACCCCGCGCACCTTGTCCTTGGCGCACTGTATGACGACGGGCAGCATGGTGCCGCGCAGCACGTCGGGCGACACGTAGCTGGACAGCGCGGCCACCGCGCCCAGCACCGTCATGCGGTACAGGTAGTGGGGGTTCTTCACCATCGCCAGCACAGGGGGGACCAGGTGCTCCTTGGCCCACTCGGGACCAAACTCCTGGGGGGGTTCGGGCGGGAAGGAGAGAGGGGCCTGGGACGAGAGGCAGCGGTTGGACGGGGACATGCTCCCGGTCCAGGTGTGAAGCAGCAGCTTGCAAGCGCCCGCCCATTGCCGGCTCCCGCTCCTGCTGCTGAAAACGCTCCGCCCCTCCCCACCAGCCCCCGCCTCCACCGAGCGGCCGACAGTTGCGTGCCCTGCCTGCCTGCCGCCGCCGCCGCCGCCGGCCCCGCCACTACACACTCACACCCCACCTGCGCAATCTTCTGCAGCGTGGAGGTGGCCGCCTCCCTGATGGACGCCACCTGGTCCTCCAGCCACTTCATGCACTGGGGGCCCAGCTTCTCCTGGGGGGTGCAGCGTCAGGGGCGGCACGGGCGGGGGTCACTTGAGACAGGGGTGATTCGAGGAGCCAGGCAGCCGTCACCAGCAGCCGCACACTGCTCAAGCTGCAGCAGCACCCAGCACAGCTGCCCAGCACGGCCTCTACTGGCCCCTCGCGGGACGCGCCGCACGCATGAGATGCCCGCTTCGGCGTCAGGCGTCCTCCCTGCAGCCCCCTGCCTGATTGTTCTCGAGCACCTCCCTGGCCCCATCGCGCCCCGCCCCGCCCCGCTCCTGCCGCCCCGCACCTGGAAGAACTCCGCCCCCAGCTGCGCGGCCAGCAGCGGTATGTGCTCCAGGATGGCCAGCCTCACGCGCCAGTGCTTGTCCTCCGCCAGCTCCTCAATGGCCGGCAGCAGGGACTGCGCCAGCAGCTCGATGCCGATGACCGTGTTGACCTGGAGACAGGGCGCAGAGAGGTGGGCGTCGGGTGATGTACAGGTGGGTGGAGTGGGGAGGTGTAGGGCGCTGGCGCAGCTGCAGCGCACCCGACCTCAAACAGCCGCCACGACCTGACGCGTCACCATTGGCCCCCTCTTTGACTCAAGACATGCATAAGCGCACGCACGCACGCACGCACGCACACACAAACACACACACACACACACACACACGCACGCATGCACACACACACACACACGCGCGCGCGCGCGCACCTGATCCAGCTTGCTGATGACGTTGAGCCTGACGTCCGGGAAGGGGTCCTTGAGCAGCGCCAAGAACACCGGCAGCAGGTGGTCGATGGTCGGCTGCCGCCCCAGCTGCGGCGCCAGCTCCATCACCACGCCCGCCAGCGCGGCGCGCACAAACTGGCTGCTGTCGTTGGCAAGCTCCTTCACGCAGGGCGCCACCTGGGGGGGGGGGAGAGGGCGGAGGCAAGGCTGATGGGGCCGCCAGAAGGCAGACAGGCATGGCACGAATGTCGGAGCGCACCGCGGAGACGTCCCCAGCTCGGCAAGCGCCCTTCCAGCCGCTTGGACGCTGCTGCGAGGCGACCGCAGGCGCCTCCAGGCTCCTTCGAAATGTATGTTGTGCCGCCATTGTGCAGCCTCCTATTCACTGTGAGCTGCCGCCTCCCGATCAACCCCGTCCAAGCAGGCGCTGCCGCCTCTCACCTGGCTGACGATGATGGGGGCCGTCAGCATCTTGCAGAAGGCCGCCACCTTGCCCGCCGCCGCGATGCGCACCTCCGCCTCAGGATCCCGCAGCAGCTTGACAAAGGCAGGGGTCAGGTCGGACCTGGGCGGCACGCAGAGGGGCGCGTCGCACGCGACAGGGCCTGAATAACAGGGGTCCCCTCCAAAGCAACAATCAGCCTCTGCAATGGTCGCAGATCAGGAGTCCGTACAACCTTTGCAGTTGGATGGGGTCCAAAATGCCACCCCTTCCTTTAAAGGGCCGGGGGGCCCTGCATGAGAAAGGTCGACACTGCACAACGCGTCCCAACCAGCTGCGCTGCTCGTCCATGACCCGAGCACGCCCCTCTCCCCCACCTGGTGGTCTCCGGCCCGAGCGCCTCGCAGAGGGCCACCAGCTGCTGCGCCACGTTGTACCGCACCCGCCACGACTTGTCGGCCGCAAACTTCTGCACCACCGGCAGCAGGCTGGCACGGCAGCCCTCCGTGCCCAGCGCCTGCGCAAACGAGCCGCAGCTCTCCACTGCCAGCAGCCGCACGCTGTCTTGCTCTGCGCGACGAGGCCGGGATGATGCAGGGGTGCGCACGAAAGCCGCAACGCCCATGCACAGCTGCTGGTCAGATCACTAATACAGCGGCAGCAGCGTGCTCGGCTGGCTTACAAGCAAACACGCCTGTTGCAAGCTAGACCTTCTGGCTGGCATCGACCGCAGTCCGTAACGTCTGGCCGCCTGGCGACTGCTGTGGGGCCGCTCCTGCTCAGCTACACCCCGCCGCCTGCGGTCCCTGAGACAGGTGACCCACACCCCCTGATATACGGAAGCAGGAGGCCCCCTGCCTCCCACGCCCGCCAAGGCCACCCACTCCCCGCCGCAAGCCCCAGTTGCGCACCGTCCCCTGTGAGGTCAGTGAACAGCGGCAGCAGCTCCTTCGCCACCAGCTCGCGCTCCACCGCGCCCGCAAACGTGCCCAGCCGCTGCGCCGCCGCTCGCCGCACCATCGGCGTCTCGTCGTGGCAGAGCTGCCCGTACAGCTGCCGCAGCTCCGTGCGTGTCGCGGGCGGCGCCCGCTGGTACGCGACCGTGAACAGGCCGCACGACGACACGCGCGACGTGAACCACTCCCCCTGGGCTAGGCGCTGCGGGATGGGCAGGGGAGCGCAAGGGGCGGCGCGGCGGGCAGCGAAGCCGCTTGGGCGCGTTGGTTTGCAGAACGCACGGCTGCAGCCCTGACACGCCTCAGCGAGACCGATTCAAACGTCGCAAGCCATGGCGTGCGCAGCAGTGGGCCGCAACCGCACACAGTCCTACAAAGACCAAGTCCGAGCTGCTATGAAAATATGAAGAAGCCAGCGCTGCAACTTGGGGCGGTGCACGTGCAGGCTGCGCTTGCTGCCGCGTATGCTGATGATGGCGACGCGCAGGTCACCCCGCCCACCTTGATGAGCGGCACCAGGTACTCCGCGACGCTCTGGTCGGGCAGCTTCTCGCCGACCTTGCAGAGCGACTCAACCGCCTTGTCCCGCACCACGGTCTCCTCTACCTGCGAGAGGTTCTCCAGCGGCGGCAGCAGGTGGTGCGCAAACGCAGGTCCGCCGACGTAGGGCACGAACTTGCCCAGCTCCTCTGCCATCGCCAGCAGCACCTCGTCCTCGTCATCATTGCTCTCTGTCAAGAACGGGATGAGCTCCGTGCGCGTTCTCTCCTCCCCAAGGGCGAGAGCGATAGTGCTCAAGCGCTGGATGGAGTTCAGTCGCCTAACCGCCTCGTCGTTCTTCAGTTCATCGCTGCGGAGGCATAGGTGTGAACATGATCAGGCAAGTCACTTGGGTTGTCCAGCAAGGGGACAGGGCAGCAGCATGCAGGAGGGGAACGAAGACCAGACGCACATGAGGATGGCTATGGGCAGCAGCTTCTCGTCGGGCCCTGTAATGGCAGCCATGCTCCACTGGCGGTCCACGGGCCCGATCTAGCGCACGAGCTTGCCCCCCTCCTCGCTGTCAGATCATGGGAGCCCGGGGCTGTGACCTGTATGCAGTTTGATTGTATATACTAAACGGAGGGCTGACAAGCGACTTCAGGCGCAACATCCGTTTTGCGGGCATCGTTGCGCGCTCTGCGCCCTTTGATTGCTCGCCGCGCGTGCAATGCAGCATGCGTTGCTCGCATGCAATATACACGTACTTATTTTATGTAAGTTTAGTCTCCTACACTCGTTTGCAGTGTGTCGGGACCGTGATCAGCATGCAGCTTTGATTTGTTTTGTGCGAAGGCCGAGGCCCTTAGCAGACGAGGGCTGGGCGCTGGCGGAGTGGCGTGCCTGAATGTTATCTTTGAGGCATGGGTGCGTGTCATGGTGTCCTGCTGGAGGGAGGTATTTAGCGGCGGTGCGAAGCATCGCGTCGCGGTGCTGTGTCCTTCAGGCGTGGGCGTCCACTGCAGGCATGTTACTCCCGTAGCCTCAGCTCAAGGCGCCCCTTACGTAACGGGCGCAGGCAGCCTGGCGGGCTGCGACGTCCTCGTCGGCAGACGCATGACACCGAGTGCTGGAGGGGCGCTGTGCGGTGTCCTGCAGGGCCTCTGCCTGCGGCACGGATTTCCTGGCCGCGCCGCTGCAGAGCGGTGGCATGTCGCGCCAGCAGCTCGCACAGTGAGTGTTTCAGCAGGCAGCGTTGACGCTGTGCTGTGCTGCTCTGTGCTGTGTTGACACTCTGCAACCAGTGCTGCGCCCGGGCCGCCCTCACCTCCAGCCCAAACGCCGCCTGCTCCAGGCCACTACGAACTGCTGGGTGTCCTCCCATCTTCCACTGGCGCCGAGATCAAGGCCGCCTTCAGGAAGCTGGCCCTGCGGCTCCACCCAGACGTCAACAGCGACGTGAGCAGGGGCCGATGAGAAGCTGCGGGGCAGCTGCGGCTGCCCTGGCTGGGCCCCGGCCCGTCTCTGCAGCTTTGCGCAGCGCCTGGCCTGCATGGACAAGACGGGGATGGCCCACCCTTGCTTGCTTGTACCGATCGTGCTGCAGCCCAACGGACACGGCAAGATACACCCGCCCTCCCCTGTTTGCGGCGTCTCCACCCCCTTCCACACACACTCCAGCCCGGCGCTACCGAGGCCTTCACCCGTGTGACGGCAGCCTATGAAGTCCTGTCGTGCGACCGCGCGCGCCGCGACTACGACGCCCAGCTGGCGGCGCGCCGCCGCGCCGCCCCAAACGCGCCCCCCCAGGCCTGGGGCGGCGCCAGCAGCTACTATGAGGCAGCCGCGCGGAGCGGCTACCGCCGCGCCAGCTCGGGCGCGGGCGCGGGGTCGCAGCAACAGAAGCGCGGCCGGCAGGCGGACGGCAGCAGTCGCGGCGTTGGCTGGGAGGAGGCGTTTTGGGAAGAAGCTGGAGACATGGACGATGGCGCCTACACCGCGGGCGGATTTTACCGGTGGGCTCAGTCAGGGTCGCATCAAACAAGCTGGAAGGCCAACAGGCGGAAGGAGCGCGTGCGGCAAGAGCAGCAGCAGCAGCAGCAGCCGCAACAGGGTACCCAGCAGCAGCAGTCCTCAGCAAAGCAGCGAGGGGCTGCGGCTGCGAGCAGCAGCAGCGGTCGCGGCGCGCGGCGCGCCCGCCGCGCAGCCGGCGTCGGCGCGGCGGGCGCGAGGCCGAGGGGCGGCTTGGACGACCTGCTGTCGCAGCTGGACGAGGCGACGCTGCGGGGGCTGAGGAGCGTTTACGGCGGCAGCCTGCACGACATGCAGGACGCAGAGGTGGGGGACGCTTGGCCTGGCCTGGCCCTGTGAGACTGCGGCGATGGCGAGCTGCTGGCTGCAGGGCTTGTGTGCGGGTGACATGGGGGTGCGGCAAGGGCGGTTGGGTTTCCAACAGCGTACATGCATCTGCACTTTGGACGTCGCTGCGCCTGCACTTGCATGCGCCGTGCATGGCGATGTCATACAGCTCACCCATCTCCCCAACAAACACCGCAGGAGTTGCAGGAGTTTCTCGAGCAGATTGAGCTGTTGCGTGCCAACGGCATCAGTTTCGAGCAGTTTGGCGGCACTGCCGGCGGCGGCCCCCGCACGCAGCAGCCCCCGCCCTCAGCTGGCTCCTCAGCAAGCAGCAGCGCCAGCGCCCGCAGCTCCGCGCGCCAGCGGCAGGCCCCGCGGCGCCGCCGCGGCGCAGCGACACGCGACGCAGCAGCGGCCGCGGCCGCGGCTGCGGGGGTGGCGGGGGGCGTCGGCGGGGGCGGGTGGATGCTGTCTGAGGAGGACCTCGCTGATGTGGCGGAGCTGCTGGGGTTGGACGATCTCGGGGAGCTTCTGTCCAGCTTCCAAGGTGATGCTGACGAGGAGGACGACGTGGCAGGCAGTGGGAGCGGGCATCGCGCCGGGCCACGGCGGCGGCAGCAGCAGCAGGAGCCCCAAGCTGGTCGAGGCGCAGGGCGCGGTGAGACGACTGGGAGTGCTGAGGATGAGGATGAGTTTCTTCTTATTGATGGGGAAAGCGACGACGACGACAGCGAGGATGACAACTCGTGGTTCAGGGAGGCGCGCCGATACTACGGGGAGGTGGGATAGGTCCCACGCAGCCCTGTAGCTATGGCGCACCTGCTGACTGTTGTCTGTTTTTGAGTTTTGTGCCCCTGCCCACCTTTGGCAAACTTTGTTGATGCACCTGGCAGTGCAATCGCTACATGTAGACCGCACAACTGCTTACGTTGCAATGTACAACAGCCAACCCCATGGAATGGGATTCGTCACATACCCACTACTGCAATATTGTGCCTGAGTGTGCACAGCTCACTCAATGTTTATCACGCTGCACAAGGTGCGTGTCAGCAACTTTTTATTATCACACAGCGCCGTCCCTTAGAATTTGAGCATGAAGTAAATGCAAAGCTGCTGGAAAGGGTACTGCACAAAACCCTACACAATCAGTCGCGGCGCTTTCTGCTGCTGCGCCTGCTGTCGCACTCCCGTCATCCATGCATCTTGATGTACAGCGCGTCGAGCGCCTCATACAGCTTGGCGTGCAGCCCAGGGATCCCGCTGCTGCCCAACCGCTGCTGCACAGCGCGCAGGTCGTCGCGTGTCGCGGCTGCCCAATCGACGGCGTCCAGCAGGCGGTCCCACACCTCTGCTGCAGCAGCGCCAGGGGCGTCCTGCCCCTCCACCCAGGCGTTTGCTGCCGTCAGCACGTCAGGCAGCGGGCGTGCCTCTCTGCTCACATCCGCGAAAACATCAAGCGGCCAAGCGCTGTATTCACAAGGCTGCAGCTTTGGGAGCGCCTCCGCCGCTTGGTCGCACCAGCTGGCGTCAAACGCAGCGCAGCACAGGTGGTGTACCGCAGGTAGCAGCCGCGCCAGCGCAGCCGGCTGCACGCTGACTGTGCTCAGCAGCAGCCGCGCCTCCATGCAGAGGCTGGAGCGCAGCTGATACTGGTCAGCCAGGCCGTACAGGGCCGGCAGCAGCTCAAGGGGCACCTCGATCGCCTCGCCATAAATGTGCCGTAACAGCAGCTCCACCACCTGCTCGTCTGCCTCTTTGAATTCCACAGCTGCTGCCTGGGCCTCGAGCATTTCACCTCCCAGCATGCCCAGCAGCGCCGGCGACGCCGCGGCCAGCACCACCCTGTGGGCCCGCCACTGGCGGCCGCCGGCGCGCACGGCCACGTCGCAGAACGGGCCGCCCAGCAGGCTGTCGCCGAGCAGGGTCGCGCCCGGCGGAGGCCCGATCCGCAAGCGGGTGTCGGTGCTGGCTGGGTCGCTCGCCGTCGTAAGAGCGATGCTGGCCTGCAGCCTGGCCCCGCCAATGACCGCATTGCGCAGCGGCCTCCATTTCAGAGCCTTGTCTTCGCCCCAGCCCTCTGCGAACGAGCCACTGGGCACGCACGTCCCGAGCAAGGCGTTTAGATGCTCGTGGCAACCGCCGCTCACAGCCTCAACAACGATTGAGAAGCGGACATCCTTTGGGGCGCTCTCTTTCTCACCGCCCCAGAACACAAAATACGACACGTAGCAATCATCATCTGGCGCCGCTCCTCCTTTGGAAGCCTCGACGTAGCAGGGGCCGACCGGGCAGTTGAAATAAAAATGGTGTGTCATGCTTGTTGGCGCCTGCTCATGCCGCCGCAGCTCCACTGTCAAGTTGTCCAACCACAGCTTGTGCACCTCCATAGCAAGGCCTCTGCATTGCCCATCACGTTCGCACGCAGCGTGGGCAGCCAAGTTGTCAGTTTCGTCAAGCGACGGTGGCGCTGCTCACATGCACAATTGAAATTCTTGAGACGCCCGCAGGATGCAACCTGCCCGCACGCACCACGTCTACGAACTTGATGCCACGGCACGCTTGCAAAATGATGTCACAAGGACAGGCTACTCGCGAGCTGCAGCAAGATCTCTGCGTGCCAGTGCTGTCGCCGAGATGTCTACGGTATTCAGTCGATCAAGATGGACATACACCAATTCACATAACACTGGTGCCTCTGGGGTTCATATATTGCCAATGCAATTTGTGCGCCCGCCAAGATCATAAGGTTTTTCCAGCTGATCTGCTGATAGCAGCCTGGGCGAGTCGGAAAGCATTCCAAGCGTTGGTACAGCTGCTCATTTGGAGACTGCCACCGACTGCAGGTCTGATGCGGAAGCATACGGCGCATTCCAGGCCGCAACAGCACCAGCATTTGCTTTGCCGTGAGCTCAGCTGCTGCGCCGCCAGCTGCGGATGCCCTCCAGCGCTGCGCTTCGGCGGTGTGCTGCCCGCTGTGGTTGTGTGTTCCTGCAGTCATCAGCCTGTGTGTTCAGAGCTATCTTGACCCGGCGCACGCCTGCGC